TTTGACTTCAATTTCGTCGAATTCAGGAATAGTTAGTTTTTGTTGCTGAATTTCAGGTAGTTTAGGTAAATGGTCGATGAGGTCCTGCATTTCATAAAGATACTTCATTTGTTTCATCTTTCGCACTACAGTCTAAATTACTTGTTAAAAGTTCCTGCCTTAATTTTTTGTATTTCTGTTTCGAAAGTAAATGAAGAAGGAATGAAGCTTTCCATCTCTACTAACATAGATGTTGGATTCATGACTAACGAGTTGGTGAAGTTGTTGTGGACAGAGTCCCGCCGTTCGCGGCTTGAATTGTTGTTGTGCCGATTGTTGAAATCATATCTTTTATACAAATAAAAAATAAAAAAAATAAAACTAACTTTATTTTTTATCTTCAAGGAAAATTCATGAAAAGTTGTTGAAGTTGTCAAAATACTCTGTTATTTTTTCCTTTAACAATGGCAAATCTTCTTTGAATGTAAGAATTGTACAACCTTTCATATCATAGTGTGTTTGAGGTAACGTATCTTGAACTATTTGTTTCACATCTTCATTTGGGGTCATTGAAATCGGTAATTTTCGCGATAGAACCAATTTCTGTCAGATTTGTAAATCTTAGCAAGGTCGTAAAAGCTTTGTTGTTTCTTCTGACTAAATGCAACATAACCATATCTTTATCTTCTTCATTTTCCATCTCTCAGTAATAAATCATATACTTTAGTTCTTTTCCTTTCCTTTTGTACCGAACGTGGTATTCTTTTCTGAATGCTTTTGTCTTTTGCTTCAATGACTTCATCTTTTGCATGAAGTTCTTTTCCATCTCTTCACGTTCTTGTCTGTGAAGTTCGTCAGAAAGTCTGTAAATATACAAGCATAACGAGGTGAAGCCCACATTGCTACGGCATTTACAAGAAGTCTATGTACATAATATCCTCATTAAATTTATTGGCAAATTTTTACGATTTCATGTGTTTTATGCAAGGCCGAGAATTCTCGGTCTAGAGAAATTTCACTCAAAAGTTCTTGTGTGGCTTCGGTTTTGAACCAATCGTCTGCGTGTTTGGTATCTGGAGCAAAACTGCAGTCAAAATACTTTGATTTGTACATATCGTCTTTGACCGAACGAATTAGACGCAATTGTTTGTTAAACTGTATGTACTCGTATTCTTCATTTATAGCTTTCATGGACTATAACTGTTGTGTGTTCTCGGTTGTTGACATATCTGTCTTTACATACAAATAAAAAAATAAATAAAAATAAAACTAACTTTATTTTTTCTATCTTAAGGAAATTCATGATTTTCATGAGTTTAGGCATGGCCGAAAAAAGTCGGTCTAGAGAAATTTCACTGTTTTCATACGGAATCTCTATCCTCGGTTTTTCGAGGGTAGCAATCTTATGCCATTTTACTCAGAATTTTGTTGCTGAATTCAGTAAAAATATATTTTAGGTGAAGAGGTGAGATCTCACCCGTTTTCTCACCTTTTTTTTCACCTGTTTTCTCACAAGCGTTTTACATGGTAAAACGTTATTTTTACATGTATTTTTCAGCAACTTCGTCAAATAATTTTATAGCTTTATCTATCTCATCTACTTCAAACGTTTTTTTACCTTTCGTGGAGCACCAATACATTTTCTCAAACTTTTCGAGTAGTTCTGTTTCTGCAGCTCTCATATCGTTAACGAACACAACTTGACTCTATTGACTGTACTGTCATATCTTTGAGTTATATTATATGTTCTTCCTATCTTATATCTCTTTGTATTGAAGTCCTTCGGTTTCTGAACGATGTAAGTAAGCCTTCACTGCAACGTTCCAGTATCGAATGAACCATATGTTATGAAGTTATATCCAACAACTGGTCTAACCATAACAAAAAACTATGGTATAAGACTTTTGTCTATAAAATATGCTGCAGTTCCATAGAATTTTACCGATATCATAAGCTCAGGATTTCTTGTCAAAATTTCTGAGTTGAAGCAATTCCAACCCAATGCCATGTTTTCTTTCCAGATGGAGATAAAATGTCTGACAAAGAATATTTGTTGTATTTCTTGAGTATCTTACGTTTAAATCACCTATTCTAACCAATTTGGTGTCATTGTCTATCTTTTTAACTGTTTTCAAACTCAGTGTTTGTCATTTCTGTTCTTACATACAAAATAAAAAAAAATATTTATAAAAAACTAACTTATTTTTTTCTGTCTTAAGGAAATTCAAGAATTTGTGGCTGAATATCAGTATGAAACCAACCAAAATTCAAGAAAGTCAGTATACTTATGAATATCCAAGACACTGGGTAGAGTATGTAGGAGGTGAGAAAGCTATTGAAATAAGACAAGTTAGAAGTATTCCAGCAGGAAGAAATATTATTGAAGAACTTTAATGTTTTGAGATATAATGATGAAACAAAGAAGCAAGATAGTTTTCCTGTTGCTGTGTATGTGAACTTAGACAGGAGATGACATGAAAGTTTTTAATACAAAGCTTCAAACGGTAGTGAGAGAACAACTGACTGCGGAAGGACATCCATTACCTTCAGAAGTTACCATAGCATATAATTTTGAAACAAACTCAATAGATTTTAAAGTCGTCTCTGCAAAGAAGTCAGGTTTTACATTTAATGAAGCAGATGTATATTCGAATGAAAACTTCAAAGCTATTGCATGGTTAGATAATGACGATTGCTTTAAGAAAATATTTAAATTCAGTGACTCAAAGATGTCAATAGATGACCTTCGTGGAATGTTACCATCGACGTTTACAGTAGAAGGTTCAGCAGGATTGCTTACAAGATTGTCAATTGGTGGTATTTGGTCTCGTGAGAACATTGTTATAAAATCCAGTATAAGTGAATTTGCTGAAGAATCTATATTATGTCTTTCAAACTACATGTATTCGCCACGAAGCATTATAGTATAACAAACTTTGTCAGTAAGTTTAACATAAGACTTGTCGAACCTTCTTCAATGAAAGATGTTGTGCTACCTAAAGATGGAAAGGATGGACTCATTATTGAGATGATTTTAATAGCATATTAAATGAGCTTGTTCTTGAAGGTCATTCATGATGAAATAACTGTTGTAGAAGATGTTAGCAATTGTTCAGACATTTTGAAGCGTATAGATGAGATAAGAAAGAAGTTTATGAATGAGAATGTTTATGTTTCATTGACTTTCTCCAGTAACGAGAACTTTTATGAGATAATATTGAAGAGAGATGATTTTAATATGGTGTAAATGGTAGCTTGGGCAGCTTTAGGCGCAATGGGAACAAAAGCATTAGCATTTGGAGCAAAAGCACTTGGGCTTATGACGCAGTAAATAAAATGAGTGGAGGAAGGGTTTCGAAGACATTAGATGCAAATAAAGGGAAGATTGGAGGCTGGGTTGCAAAGAAGTTAAGATTAAATAAAATAGGGCTCATAAATAAAGCATCCAATTTGGTTGCGACTGAGTCAGAAAATGCTTTAGGAAAGGACGATGAGTTTGCAAAACACGCAAAAGACTTTAATGACCAGATGAAAGGTGAAACAATGCATTTAAATAGATTCGATGGAACTAAAGAAAATGTTTCTTCTCCACCAGTAGTTCTTCCGTATGGTCCCTATGGAATGTATGGAAATCCTTACGAAAGACCATTTGACCCATTGACTGGTGGAAGTAACTGGTATCATTACGGACGAAGAAGAAAGACAGTCAAGTTGGAGACAGACTTGAAGAAAGCAACTAAAAAGAAACCAAGGAAGAGAGTTATAAAGCAATGAATTCAACATGGTGAAAAAACAGGTGAAAAAAGAGGTGAGATCTCACCACTTCACCTAAATTTATTTTTCACCTCTGACAACGTTTATTTTTAAGTTTATTTTATTATTTAGCGAGAACGTTTATTTTTATATAAATGACAGAACAAAAATATAACATTTCTACTCAGCAGGAATGAGACCCTTACTGACTATGTATTCGTTTAATGCTTGATGAAAACAATGGTACATATTATCGTATGGGTATACACAACGTCTGTTTCCATCGTCGTCGTATATGTAGAGCTCAAATCCAGTCCAACCTTCTTTTGTACAATATGTAGCTTTATTTAAGTATGCATTTATGTAGATAAGGCAATTTTCTTCATCGCTCCAGAAATAATTTTTCGTCATTGTTGAAATAGTTTTCGTTCCTCTGCGACCATAAGGAATGTATGCAATGAACTTTGCGTCATATGGGATTGTAATATATTCAGGGTTTCTTTCATCGTCAATGGGTCTGTCTTTGTTAAAATGCATGTTTCTCAGTTTTACTTGAGTTTTGAATAGTTCACGGAAACGTTCTGGGAAAGAGTCATAGTAAATGTAGTCGGACATGTCTTTGTAATGAAATAAAAAATTTAAAAAAATAAAAATAAGGTTATTTTTATTTAGTGAGGACGGTAGTGAAGTCGTTAGTGAAGTCGTTAGTGAAGTCGTTTATGTATCAGATGGTTTTGTAAATATTTAAGGTTAAGTTGGTGTTTGTGTTTGTGTTGTAAAATATACGTTACCGGTTTTGTAAAGTGTCAAACCGTTAACTTGGGTAAGGTGGAACGCAATGCCACAGTACCCAACTTAGGGATACTAACTATTTTTCTGTCGGAAGGAAGGACTCGGAATGCCAGAAGGATTTGACAAGACAATTTACCTTATAGAGCTACCTGAGCCATCTGAAGTCAAGCTTGAAAAATAAATGGTTCATTTACTCTACTTGTTTGAAGTTGTCAAAATACTCTGTTATTTTTTCCTTTAACAATGGCAAATCTTCTTTGAATGTAAGAATTGTACAACCTTTCATATCATAGTGTGTTTGAGGTAACGTATCTTGAACTATTTGTTTCACATCTTCATTTGGGGTCATTGAAATCGGTAAGTTTTCGCGATAGAACCAATTTCTGTCAGATTTGTAAATCTTAGCAAGGTCGTAAAAGCTTTTGTTGTTTTCTTCTGACTAAATGCAACATAACCATATCTTTATCTTCTTCATTTTCCATCTCTTCAGTATAAATCATATACTTATAGTTCTTTTCCTTTCCTTTTGGTACCGAACGTGGTATTCTTTTCTGAATGCTTTTGTCTTTTGCTTCAATGACTTCATCTTTTGCATGAAGTTTCTTTTCCATCTCTTCACGTTCTTGTCTGTGAAGTTCGTCAAGAAGTCTGTAAATATACCAAGCATAACGAGGTGAAGCCCACATTGCTACGGCATTTACAAGAAGTCTATGTACATAATATCCTCTTAAATTTATTGGCAAATTTTTACGATTTTCATGTGTTTTATGCAAGGCCGAGAATTCTCGGTCTAGAGAAATTTCACTCAAAAGTTCTTGTGTGCTTCGGTTTTTGAACCAATCGTCTGCGTGTTTGGTATCTGGAGCAAAACATGCAGTCAAAATACTTTGCATTTGGTACATATCGTCTTTGACCGAACGAATTAGACGCAATTGTTTGTTAAACTGTATGTACTCGTATTCTTCATTTATAGCTTCATGGACTATAACTGTTGTTGTGTTCTCGGTTGTTGACATATCTGTCTTTACATACAAAATAAAAAAATAAATAAAAATAAAACTAACTTTATTTTTTCTATCTTAAGGAAATTCATGATTTTCATGAGTTTTAGGCATGGCCGAAAAAAGTCGGTCTAGAGAAATTTCACTGTTTTCATACGGAATCTCTATCCTCGGTTTTTCGAGGGTAGCAATCTTATGCCATTTTACTCAGAATTTTGTTGCTGAATTCAGTAAAAATATATTTTAGGTGAAGAGGTGAGATCTCACCCGTTTTCTCACCTTTTTTTTCACCTGTTTTCTCACAAGCGTTTTACATGGTAAACGTTATTTTTACATGTATTTTTCAGCAACTTCGTCAAATAATTTTATAGCTTTATCTATCTCATCTACTTCAAACGTTTTTTTACCTTTCGTGGGAGCACCATACATTTTCTCAAACTTTTCGAGTAGTTCTGTTTCTGCAGCTCTCATATCGTTAACGAACACAACCTTGACTCTATTGACTGTACTGTCATATCTTTGAGTTATATTATATGTTCTTCCTATCTTATATCTCTTTGTATTGAAGTCCTTCGGTTTCTGAACGATGTAAAGTAAGCCTTCACTGCAACGTTCCGTATCGAATGAACCATATGTTATGAAGTTATATCCAACAACTGGGTCTAACCATAACAAAACTATTGGTATAAGACTTTTGTCTATAAGATATGCTGCAGTTCCATAGAATTTTACCGATATCATAAGCTCAGGATTTCTTGTCAAAATTTTCTGAGTTGAAGCAATTCCAACCCAATGCCATGTTTTCTTTCCAGATGGAGATAAAATGTCTGACAAAGAATATTTGTTGTATTTCTTTGAGTATCTTACGTTTAAATCACCTATTCTAACCAATTTGGTGTCATTGTCTATCTTTTTAACTGTTTCAAACTCAGTGTTTGTCATTTCTGTTCTTACATACAAAATAAAAAAAATATTTTATAAAAAACTAACTTTATTTTTTCTGTCTTAAGGAAATTCAAGAATTTTGTTGCTGAATTCAGTAAAAATATATTTTAGGTGAAGAGGTGAGATCTCACCTGTTTTTTCACCCGTTTTTTCACCTGTTATTTTATAAGCGTTTTACATGAATTGTACGATGTATATTTGAAATTCTAAACAGTTTTGTAGCTTCTATTTCTTCGCTGAGGATATCGAATGTTTTAACTATGCCGAAAGTTTCTTTATACTTCTTCTTGACGTCAGATAGAAGGAAATCTTCTGCTGTTGGATAGTTTTTGTTCAGAAATTCTAACATGTCCATTTTATTTTCTGCTGGCTTTTCTGCTTCTTTCTTTAAGTCTGCATAGTCGTTTCTCATTCTTTCTATCTCTTTGACGGAGTAGTTATATCTCCTCATTGCTGCTTTACATTTAGAACATTGCGGGTTCATTTTTGCGTTATATTCTGAAACCTTACCTGCTAAAACAACCAAGGCGTCAATGGTTTTCTTTAACTCAAAAGTTGCTGGTTTTATCTGTTCATTCCATACCTTACCTCTTCTATCTTTATCTCTTATCTGCCATACACATTCAGCAACTAACGAAACAAAGTTGTCGTAGGTCTTAAACTCCCCAGATTTATATATGTCAGAAACATTCTTATATACCATGTCGCAATCTTTGTCCATAACCTTATGGTTGCAATGAAAACCAAGGAATTCATAATTTACCTTTCGTATGAACTTCTTTATTTCTACCGAGTCAGTTGCTTTGACTTCTATTTCGTCGAATTCAGGAATAGTTAGTTTTTGTTGTTGGATTTCAGGCAATTTGGGTAAATGGTCAATAATGTCCTGCATTTCATAAAGATACTGTTCATTTGTTTCATCTTTCGCACTACAGTCTAAATTACTTGTTAAAAGTTCTTGCTTTATCTTCTGGATTTTTGTTTCGAAAGCATATGAAGAAGGAATGAAGTTTTTCATTTCTACTAACATAGATGTTGGATTCATAACTAACGAGTTTGGTGAAGTTGTTGCTAACATGTTCTTACAATAAAAATAAAAAATATTTTTTTTAAAAAACTAACTTTATTTCATCTGTCTTAAGAAAATTCATGAAAATTCAACGGGTGAGAAAAGAGGTGAGAAAAGAGGTGAGATCTCACCTTCTACCCTAAATTATATTTTTGCTGAATTCATGAGTTTTGGTTGAAAGAATACGGTGGAGCCAAAAGTGGCTCGACCTCAAAACAAGCATTTTGTGAAGAATAATACAAAATTCAACGGGTGAGAAAAGAGGTGAGAAAACAGGTGAGATCTCACCTTCTACCCTAAACATTATTTTTGTGCTATGTTTTCTGTATAAAATTCATGAAAATTCAAGAGGGTGAGAAAAAAGGTGAAAAAAAAGGTGAAAAAACAGGTGAGATCTCACCTCTTCACCTAAACATTATTTTTCAATACTTTTTCAGCACTTTTCCGTAGTTATATATGAAAGACAATTCGAGATAAAAGTCATAGTACAATGGAATAATATGTTGCACACCATTTGTTGTGAACCAAACTTGAAAGTCAGAGAAACTGTTACTAGGTGGTTCGTAGAATTTAGAAGCAAAGTCATAAAAGTCCTTACCAATACATAGAAAACTATTGTTGCTTGAACTGAAACTTGCATGACACATAACATTTTGAGGGTCAAACACGTTTCTATAAACTGTCAAATCTGCTGGTGGAAGTATAAATTGAAATGGACCATCTGGTGGTAATGGTTCGTTCTGGTTTAGTAACCGAAGAAATTGTGCCCAAGAACGTTTGTCTACTCCCCAATATAAAAACTCTGTATCTCTTGGAGGGTTAATTTCAATCTTTTGAAATGAAACGGTGGAGTTCATCTTGTCATATTCTAGTTTCAGATAGTATGTTCCATTTAGTAAAGAGTCGTATTTTTCTTGAAATTCCCAATAATATTTGTTCATTTGAGTTTGAAAGTCATTTAGAGTTTTCTCAAGACTTTCGTCTGAACGAACTGTAAAGATTCTCATTTCGTCAAATTTGTCTATTAGACCATCATGACCTTTATACTGCCCATGAAAATATACTGCGAACATAAATGCGTTAGTTCTATTTGAAAACAAAACTCTTCTAAATCCTATTGCCTTTGCATCTGAAGGACTTTGAAGCCAACGAATTGGATAGTCAAACCTGTATGTTCGGGATGAAATTTCTTCATCTGAAATAGTCCTACCAGCATTTGTAAAGATATAGTCTAACGGTTTTGTATCTGCTACTTTTGTTCTTTGTTTTTCAACCTGAAGCATTTAATATATGTAAAAATATATTGTTTTAAAATGGTATGCCATTTCATATTTCTCATCTAACAAACAAGTTTCCCAACGGTCTTCTCCAACAAACTCAGCGTACATTTCAAATAAAAATTTTTTATTTCATGCAATGTTTTATTTCTGTGCCGTCTTCAAGTATGCCCCAGTACTTACGCTTGGAGAGGACATGAACTTCGGTGAAAATTTTGTCCAATTTGAATTGACCCATCTTTTCACCGACCATTCCCATTTCAATGAGTTTGTTGTATCCTTCTTCGTTCGTCATGAGTGCGTCAATGTTCTCATAGTAAACCACAACTTTCGATTTGACTTCGGAGAAGAATTTGTTGTAGTTGTCAAGGACTGCCTTTGCGAACTGAGGGTAAGACCAATGTTCGACAATAGGTTTTAATGTGGTTACTAAGCCACTTTGACCTTGAGTGAATTCGTACTTCAAAACAAAAGGAGAAAACCTTTCAACAAAGTTGTCGACCTTCTCATAATGTTTACTCTTCATCTCTTGAGGTTTCTTAATGGAATATCCCCATGTCGAATTCATAAGCAATTTGAGTGTCATTGCAAGTTTGGGATTTGAAGCTTTCCTAATATCATACAGTTGTTGTATGACTTTTCCAACTGTATAGTTCCTTCCCGGGAACTCACCATCTTCGTTTGGAATTCCAGTCGGAATATATTGGACAAACCTCATGTATGCAGCGTTAAGGTCGACATAGTATATCTTTTCATCTGAGTCGAACTTGTCGCAACCAATTGGTCCAGTTTGTGGAAATTCAAGTGAGTCTCTTATCTTCTGAGAAACTTCTCCTGTTATCTCATAAACATCGTCGAAGCAACCTGTTTCATATAAAACCTTCTGACCTAACTCAGATGCTCTCCAATACAATTTGACGTCAATTGGATGTCTCAATGGAAGTTTGTTTATAGCATCTTGAAGTTCTTGCAACCTCATTGGAAGTTCTTCTGGTTCAGGTTGGTATCCGAACAATCCAACTCCTTTTGGAATTGTGTACTTCTTTTGTACTAGAACTTTGTCTGGAACAACTTTTGGTCTTGCTAACAGTGAAAAGTTTGTTTCGTCTTTTGGTACAAAAGTTTCTGTCAGCTTGTCATCTGGAATTGGTTCCAACAAACCTTTCTCGAAAAGAATGTTTACAGCTCTGACAATGTTGCACTTGCCTTTTCCGAACAATGGGTTTGTAAGACTTTCGTTCAACATGAAGTGGTTGTGGACAATTGCAATCTTCAACCATGGTAAATTGAACTCAACAACATAGTCGTCATGTGAAGAACCTTTAGCTGTAGGTATGTTGACTCGGATATTGACATTTGCCAACGGTGCAATTTTTGCCAATTGACCTCTGAGAATGTACCTTGTCTTCACACATGACTCAAGATACTTCATCTTCTCATCTGTAACAAGACCAGAGTTCCTGAGACATGTAAGAATGCAAGGTTCATTGACAATTGTTTCAATTGAATTGTAAATTCCATACCTTGTCAAGTCAATGTCAGACTTATTTATGAACGGGAAGTATCCAGCATGTTGTCTGACTGCTTGAGGGTTAGGTTGGTACCATTCGAACTTGACACTTGCAATTCCTTCAATTGCATTCAAAATGTCTGAGTCGGAGTCAACCATTTGTTCTCTCTTTGTAGTCTTGAAAGCGTCAAGAAGCATTGCAGCTGTTGTGACA